TGAATATCTTCTACATACAATTTTATTCGAAATGAAAGTCCCCTTAACAATTTTATCTCAGGAGATTCATCGAAACCAAGTTTCTCTTCGTATCTATAAGTTAAACTTCACCTCAGATCATTTTTGTCCCGACTTCCCTGAACATTTCATCTCTGGTGTTGGTTCGACATTGGCTTTGCAACTTTGTCGGTTCGTCAGGGAGAGCTAAAGGAGATTGCGACCAAACGGAAGGCGATACCTTCCTGGTCTTCACATCCACGATCTAATTTCTACTTTACATTGTCAGGATTGGATCCTCCGACGCATTGAGCATTTTGCTTGATTTATTTATGCTTACTTACCTTACGTCTTGTTTTTTTTCATTTTTATTTTGCAACTTCTTTCCTTTTTCTCCCATTATCTTCCTTTTCTCTCTCCTCTCTTTCGCCATATTATCCTATGCCAGCCTCGTTTTTTCTCTTATTTTATATCTGTATCGCTCATTTCTCGATTATATTGTCTCTTTCCTTTTTACCTCAACGTTATTTTCATTATTCCTTTTATTTATTCATTTGGTTCTTCCCTTATTTCATTGTTACCTCTCTCCTCTGTCTATTCTTTCCTTTATATTTTTATACATTTATGTATACCACCATAACTGCCACTGCATAAAGATGAGCTTCGATACGGCGACATTGTACAGCAGGCATTTATTGATAATTACTACAACAACACTTACAAACTGATGCTCGGCCTGACCTGGTCCATGACCTTCTGCTCGCAGACACACTTTCTTGTCTTCTTGGACGATGACTACTACCTCAACGTACCGGCACTGGCCGCCCTATTGGTCGAGTTGCTGCCGTCGCAGCCCCAGAACAATTCCGCGCCCCCACCCCAGCAACTGGTGAAGAGGCTGCAGCAGCAACAGGAGGCCGTTGCCAGCGACACATTTGACCGTAGCCTGACGGAGTCCAGCCAAGGTGGAGCCAACAGTTCCCAGTCGGGCGAGCACTCCTTCAACCGAACTGCAGGCCAGCAACGGAGTCAGGTCGGATGGCCGAAGCAGGCCTACTTTGCTGGAAAAAAGGAGCGGGCCGTCGCAAAAGCCTGGGTTGCTTCTCAGGCCAACCTCGATTACGAGTCCGTTTTCATCGGTAGGTGCTGGAGAAGGCTAATTCTTTTCATAATTGTTGGGCAATCGGAGCGATGGTTATAACTTAAATGTAGAAAGGGGGAGATCGGAGTCATCAAACGTAGATGACAA